AAATCAATGACGACCATATTAACCCTGGAGATTAAGAGTTGTACTTGACTATGTATATACTCCACTACTCCAGTCTCCAGGTTCACATGCCGGCGTCTTCTGGAAAGATGTAGGTCCTAAAACAAGGTTTCATGGTAAATCTGATAGTACCATTTGTAAATGACAAACTATTAATTCTCATCAAGTTTCCGTTGAAGGTAGAAAACTTTCGTGAGGGTTTCTAAAGTAATGGGGGGGTGTAGTATTTTTCTCAAAATATCAAACTGTCCTTATTTGACATGCAACATTCTTGTTGTCACGCTCTCGCCCCATGCAAATGCATTTACCATATTTGATAGTTTAACAAGGGCTACACTAGCATTGTTGTGAAATTTAGCCAGAAAGGAACTTCTGTAGTAAGTGACTCAAGATGTTACCGCGGACTGTCAATCTTGGCTTGTATTGTGTAGCCTAGTGTCAGTGTATTCCCTTTGTTTTTTCCTTTCTTTTATATTTTTTCTTTGGCTGTGCATCCTGAATGTCTTTGCGACATCTTGTGCAGAGATTGGGTGTAATTGATATCTGCATGATATTAATATATTCTCCTTTTAAAAAATTTCCTTCCAAGCCTAAAAAGTGTTTTCACTATGTTGATGTAAAAACATATGAAAAATAGGAAGATGGGTATGAAAAGTGTTGATTATATAGTACTACGTTGTTCGATAGTATAATACATTATGTGCAGATTTATTAACTCATGTGAACATGTGCAAACACAAGACCTATACCATAAAACATCATCTCTTGTACTTCCGTGTTTATTGTATTAATATTGAGCTACATTGTGATGTCTTCTTGCACATGTATTATACATAAATCATGCTACAAAATAGAAGAACAAGACTCTCTCTCTCTCTCACGCACACAAATCTCTCCTCCATGAGAGCAAAATGTTACCATAAGTAAACATGTACATATTACCTGTAAAAGATAAATATCATGCACCAATTTAAGAAAATATTGATATAGTTTCATTCCTTCGCGGCAGCCTATTGATTTGTGCGATGGGTGTTACCTCTACGGGTTGATACCTTAGTTGCTCATGTGAGGGGAATACATGTAGCTTGCTTCAAACCCTTGCACTTGGATGCCCAACAAGGTGCTATCAAAATAGAATACACTTGTGTCGTCAACATGTTTATTGTTTTTATAGGTGTTTGTAGTATGTTGTTTGACACATATGTATGGTATAAATCACATTACAACATCAAGGGTTCTTTATCTGACGCACGACATTATTGTTGCCATGCATGCTCTCATGCATTGCAGATGTGATTACCAACATGTAAATGGTATCCTAGTATTAGTGCCTTGCTTCATCTTTCCCTTTCTGTCATATTTAATGGTGTGGATGATAGGATTGATCGCCGACGAGGCTGAGCGGCACATATTGCATGAAGCATTGTTGGGCGGGTGGCTTTATTACCACCGAGCTTTTTGTCTCTACATTTGGCATTCCTACTGCTTCCTAAGCCTAACCATAAGCCTTTTTTTCTCTCTCGGGGGTTTCAATTCTAGTTTGTAGCTAATACTATGTTAATATAGAAACATACGAAAATGGGACGGTAAGCAAAGAAAGAGTTTGATTGTATAAGTGGTATGTTGTTCGATAGTAATGGTATCACTATCTGTAAATTTATTGCTTGTGTGAACATGTGAAGATCTAGACCATAAACACCATCTTAAAAGTTGTGGTGTGTTTACTATATTCATATGTAGTTGCAGTATGATGCCTCCTTACACGGTACATAAAACACATTACAAAAGCAGAAGAAACAAATCTCTCTCTCTCTCTCTCTCTCTCTCTCTCTCTCACACACACACACACACCAATTGTTCATCGGCTCTCTCAGGAGGAAAAAAGTCGCTCATTAACAATGTAACATAAAGAGTTGAATATGTAAACAATTCCGCAAATGATAAATAACATATAAAAATTTAAACAAATATAATTACGGTTTCATTCCTTTAGGAGTCATGAAGGCCTCAATTTATGCTAGTAACTAAGACATGTTATCCTCGTCAACATCAGCTAGCTCTTCCGGCCTCGCGGAGCTAGCTACCTGTCTTTCACATCAATATAAGTTGTTTCACACATTAAAAACAGACAAAATTGTTCAAGTGTTAAAGTCATGACAACCATATCTCTTCGAAGAAGCAGAGATGCGGGACTTTGGACCTCATATTTCAGTGCAAAAAAATTGTGCAAGCCCCCCATATAATAGAAACATGGAAAATTATTCAAATATTCAATATTCATCGAACTACAATTATTCGCTTTACGGACAAAAGGAAGGTGAAATTTTGAAGTGTCCTTGCCAAGTATGTGGTGGCTTGATGAAATTTCTTCCAACTTATTAAAGATGGTAAATCTGTTTCACAACACACAACAAATTTCACTTTCGGCACCGATCGCTGGTACGAAGCAATCATGTGACATTCCCTTCATCATCAGCACAAGTTGTTCAACATTTCATCAAAAATGAAAAAAAGCACAAGTTGTTCAAGTGTCAAAGTCTCTTTCCGGGTGACCATGGCTCCCCTGTGAAACCGAAGCGTGGGCCCGGCCTGTCAGCCAAAAAAAAAATCCTACCGTCGAAGCGTTTACTCCGGCGTAAAAAGCGCGTAGAACAGAAACCGCTGGCGCTGAGGTATATCCACGAGATACGATTGATTTCTTGCTTCGCAAAAAAAGAGAAAGCAAAACCGAAATATCCCC